AAATAACTAATCTTTGGCAGCCATTTTCTCACTAATTTTACCTCTGAAAACAGGTGACCCCATCTCCTTCCTTAGCAAATATCTCGACTTGTATTCAAGATAAATGGATATTTTTTTCATCCAAAGAAAGACAAGTGAACAAGCTTTAAGATGATGCCAATAACTCTACATGCCCAAAAATTGACGAGAGCCTGATTCAACCACGCTGCCACACATATTCTTCTTCTTCTTCTTCTTCTTCTTCTTCTTCTTCTTCTTCTTCTTCTTCTTCTTCTTCTTCTTCTTCTTCTTCTTCTTCTTCTTCTTCTTCTTCTTCTTCTTCTTCTTCACACTGAGGTGTGTCAGTTCCGCTGTCCTTTATTTTCAACTGTCTAAACGAGGGCCAAATCCTGAAAAATGCAGTACTTTAAAATCGCAGACTGGGGAATATATTTTCGAAACGAACTCTTTATGTTAAAGAGGCCAGTAAGCTCTCTCTCTCTCTCTCTCTCTCTCTCTCTCTCTCTCTCTCTCTCTCTCTCTCTCTCTCTCTCTCTCTCTCACGCACACACACACACACACACACACACACACACATACACAAATACACAGACACACAAAACACACACACGTACAAAAACTTACACACTTACACACTCACACACACACACACACACACACACACACACACACACACACACACACACACACACGCACATACAAACTTACACACACACGTACACACACGTATACACAAACATTGAGCGTCTCATTTATCATTTTCTCTGGACACAGGCACGACAAGAACTTGGTATGGAAGGCCAACGATTATGGAGGCATCGCCGTCATGTACTTCACGCAAGACCAGATCTGGGCCCCATCCGTAACGGCGTTTTCAATATTGTCTTTGTGGGACCTGCCCTTACAGACCATAGTTGAAAGCAACGGCAACGTAACTTTCAACGCGGCTGGACAATTTGAGAGCCAATGCCCTCTTAAAATGACGTATTTCCCTTTCGATTACCAAACATGTACCATACCATTTGGTGCGGTAGGGTCTTCTACAATTGACGTCGATCTAATCCCTGTTGGAGCAAAACTCCACGACGAGTTTGTACAAAATGGCCAATGGGAAGTACTTAATGTTCGAACATTTAAACGTTATATTTACGCTGGTTCAAATCTTCTGTCGTTCCCTACAGTATACGTAGAGATGCATCTCCAGAGAAGGCCGGCCTATTATATCATTAACGTTATTGTCCCCGTGATCATTGTCTCACTATTGGGCCAGTTCACGTTTCTGGTGCCGGTGGAGAGTGGCGAACGTTTGTCGTATGCCCTCTCTGTACAAGTAGCATTGACCCTTTACTTCACATCTGTTGAGAACGTCATTCCTCGCTCGTCGGTATTTATACCAATTATCACACGATATCTTATCTGTATCTTCATCCTTAATTTTCTGTGCATTGTTATCACCTTAATTGTCATCGGCATTCGGAACAGTAAGGTTGGGGTTCGAAAAGATGGTCAGAAAATCATGTACATATTTGGAATGCCTCTCTGCATCCAGCAAAAGTCATACAAAAGAGACAGCATAAGTCAGAGAAAACGACGGGGCAAAGTTGGCGTGACCTCCCATGACACGAAAGACACTGGCAGATTCTGGTCCCGTGACAACGACCCTGCTAAGAGCACACAAACACACCAAAATAAAATAGAGGACCCTCTACAAAATATGAGCATTAAAAACCGTGATGATATAGGGGAGAGAATCCGCCAAGACGCACGAGATCAAGGCTATGAACAGGGATTCCACTTTGACAACACGAGACAAAGCCAGGAAAAGGACTCCAGGCAAGAGGCTGACGGTGAGGGTGACGTTGACCATGATGTGAAGCGGATTTCAGAAAGGGTGAACTTGTGGTGTTTTGCTCTTGTTTCTCTATGTTTCATTTGTGTGACTGTGTATACCTTTGCTGTATTGGGCGGCCAAAATGAATGACGGTCAAATCTAAAGAAATGAAAGCAAAAGAAAAACATAAATCAAAACAACAACTAAAGAAAATAAAGATTGGATCACGTTACACCGAATTTAAAATAGTTCCAAGTCCTCTGTCCACAACGAGTTTTGAACCTATCTCCTAAAAAAGAAACCCAATGGCCAATTTTGTCTGTCCGCGACTAAAATTGAATAAACACAAATCACTCTATTAATCTTCTCATGTCTTTGCATGCTAATCTTAAAGTTGGTGACCAGCAGAATCTAAAAGCTCTTTTATAAAGGTCACTGAAAACTAGCAGCTTGAGCCTACAACACCCGAGAATCCGGCTTCAAATCAAGAGAACCCCCAAGAAAGACCAGGCTGGATGGGGTAAAACAGGTCCTGGAACAACATAACACATCAATCACAGGCGCTACACACCAGTACCGAAACCTGCACCTCCCCTTGACATCCTAAGGATACCAGAGGAAGGAAAAAGTAAAACGTAAAAATGTAAGTACTGTAAACTAAGGTCCCGACACCTGTTCTTTGATGTGAACCTAAACAGGGTAAAAATGAAAAGGCAGATTTACAGCGTGCCGCCTTGAACATGGAACTTCGACCTTTGTTCATATTAAATACCCCACTTTAAAGTACGACTAGGAATCACCATCCAACAGACATAATTATGAGTACTTTTTGAGACTCACGTTGAGACTCCTTGGCGGTCGTGGGAGGAAATCCACACGCTGACACTGAACTGTGGAGGCATAGCTGTCTCAAAAGGAACTGCTTGCACATTTGGTTACTGTGAATCATTTATTTTAGTAAGCTCGCAAAGGATGGTTTTTAATATAGGGTCTAAATTAAAGAATTTTAAAAAATTACTGAATCAAGAAATTGGAAAAAAATGTTTAGTTGCAAGCTCACAGAGGAGTTCCAAGAAAGTACATGAGTATTGGCAAAATAATAAATGAAGTAGAATTTTTTAACACGGACAGTCGAATGTGAACAAGCTAAAAAAACTATTTACATTGCTCAACACTCTTCGTGGACTCACGTTTTTATAGCGTTGGTGGTTCCTAGTGTTTAGAAAAGCGAGCACTAACCGCCCTATCCAATGCCAATTCAAATACTTCTTGAGACAGGAAACATTTGGAAACAAACTACATATTATGAAAACTCTAGTTGATCATGTTTCATTCTGTCTGGTGATTCTCCCCATTATTTTATGTACAAAAAAGCTACAGACACTCTTGGTTTTCCTTCGTAAATGTATAATATATTAATAAAAACACAACATGAATGTTCACACTGATTTGCACCCCCATGATACTTTCATTTCCCCCCCCCCCCCTCACGTTTATACATATCACCCGCATATTCTTTCATTGTATTGATAATTCAGATGATCATGCTTTCCGTTAATGTCTATCTATCTATCTATCTATCTATCTATCTATCTATCTATCTATCTATCTATCTATCTATCTATCTATCTATCTATCTGTCTATCTATTTATCTATCTATCTATCTATCCATCCATTTATCCATCCATCTGTCTATCTATCTATCTACATATTATTATCTATGTATATTTGAGAACAACGATGTTTTACTCTGTTTGTTGGATTCTTTCAAATGCTGCCAGATTTAGAATCTAATGCTCTGAATTCAGACTTTTCAATCATAAGCGATGCACTTGAAGAATTTAACCCTTCACTGCCACACCTGCTTTATGATGTTACCATAGAGCATAATGTACAATCTCGGGAGACAGTGAAGGGGTCAAATCAACTCTGACTAAGAGTTGAGGTGATTTGTTTGTGACCCTGTGTGTGCTTAATTTGTAGATTACACCACTATATTTGTACACGTTCATTTCTCTACGTAAATGATGTAAATAAACACCCCTCTCACATATATCTTGCTTGAAACTGAATACAAGCTAACCAACAACTGTGTTAACAGGATTATGTTTTTTTTCACTGTAGTTTTCTTATGTCCTGTAACCTCTTGTTTTTCAAACAATAATGAAGTAAAGGCATAAAAATCCAGACATAATGACCCCCCCCCTAAAAAAAACCCCAACAAAAACCACCAACAACAACAACAAAACCCCACCTCTGTCTCTTTCCTTTCGGTTTGGCCAACTCCTTCAATGACAAAAACAGCAACAAACAAACCAAATAAAGATAACAAGAAACCCAAACAACAACAAATAAACAAAAACAAAAGCCACCCAACAACACCCCCCCCAATTGCTTCCCCAAGCAATCAATGCTTCAAGAGTCAACGTAAATGGCCCGATATAAGAGTGAAAACAACGCAAGAGCCAAACAACTGTTCTGTTTTTCCAGGTGATTTGTTCGTACCGCTTACTGACGCACGCGATTTTAGGTTCAATTATTATGGACAAGCAGTTCCACCGCTGCAATAATGTCACTGGACGTGTTGTGTCGGTATTAGTGAGGTATTAGTTACGCTCGATCGGGCTCTTTGAGCACTGTTGAATTTATTATGTATGTAAGAAGTGTGGGTTTCTCTCAAGGTATACGAGGTCCACGTTCTTTTTAATGTAGATTGTTTTTTACATCCTTATCAACTCTGTGTAGATCATTTAAGAGGTAAGCTTTGATCGTGTCTGCAAAGGCACAGTCGGGATGAAAGGGATACAACGTTCCAGCTGCAGAAAGACTGAGATACTCGAAAAAAATTCTCCACCCACAAGAGTCGAACCCGGGTCTTTTGCCCATGCTCCTTCTCCCTGGCTCCTTTCTGCTGTCTTTCAGCCACATTCCTGATCTTAGGGTAGGTAAGATCGAACACCTAAGCCTTTTCGGATAGGTGGACCAAATCTCGGAGATCCTGTGTGCTGGTTAAGTTATTTAAAGATCCTTTGGTGGTCCAAAATCGACAAGACTAGGCTTCAGCCGCCAATCGGGCAAAATTCAAAATTAATTCCGTACAAACTAAAAATGTTTAATGTGTCCCGCGCGCTCACATGACCTTATACAGTTGCAAGCGCTGTAAAACACTTACTAAAAAATCTAGTACTCAGAATACTTTCATTTTTCTTTCCTAATTGGAACGTTATTTTAGTGAGTATTTCCATCATCCATAAGTTTATTTTGGCAGGGTAATATAATAGTTTCAGTCAGCCCCAGTTGGCCCTGACCTTTACGGTCGAATCAGCCAGCCCCAAAAGGACTTAACTAATCGTGTCAAAAGAACTATGAAAAGTTTACGAAGATTTCATAAAGTAAGTCTTGATAAAAGGACATGAAAATAGACAGTTTATTGCTCATGAGTTGGACAATGGTACAAAAAAGCTAGAATGCTTTAAACACTTTATTTTACTTTTTACATCTAAGGTATGTACACTTTCAGAGAGATGCTATAGATGAATCCCTCTTTAACTGTTCATCGCTACAAAAGTATAAATTGTAACAACAACGAAACTCGTGAAGAGAATAATGAAACTGAAAAGGTTTATCATGTTCAACACATACTTCAGGTCAGCATCAACTTCATCGGTGGGATCAGAGGCCATCGTTTCATGACCCCAAGTCGCAAAAGGAATGGGCAGTCCATCCCTGGGCGTGTGATGCCTCCCAAATCCTCCTCCGCCACTAAATATCCTTGCATTGCAAGCGTTTTCTGATGGCATTGGCATGTTTTCATGGTATTTCTGAGAAGCTGGGTGAGTGGGAATATGTGCGTGAAATAGATCGTTGCTGCTCATGTCTTTTTTGTCTGCCGCCGGGCTCACGACTACAGTAGTATTATCTTCGACAGCACCTATTCTATTCGTCTTTCCTCCATTACAGGCTGGTTCATTCGGACTGGGTTCGTCTGTGGAAACGGAGAAAGGGATCCCGAATACATGCAAGAGTTTCTTTCGCCTGCTCAAAGGTACAATTTTTCCCCAGCGTAGGCTAATGATAACTAAAGTCATAACGATACAGACGGCGTTAATAACAAATAGAGAGACGAGGTATTGCGTGATGATGGGCGTTGTCACAGATGTACTTGGCATGATGCTTGACACTGAAGTAACGTACACAGACAGCGACAGCAGAACGGTCAGCGCGTAGGATAGCCGCTCTCCGCTCTCCACGGGCACAGTAAAGGTAAATAGACCAAGCAGGGAGATGGTCACAACCGGGAGGAAGATGCTGAGTGCGTAGTAGGTTGGTCGCCTCTTGATTTTGAAAATTATGTCAACAAACGACAAGAAACCTCCGTCAGTAGAGTAGATGAAAAACGTTGTGGAAGAAACGTTTTTAAGTTCGAATTCTTCATGCTCGACGTAACCACCGTAAAGTGTTCCCACCTTGGTCGGAACTATTAGCACTTGGTCGGCAGTGGACTCTAGTGTGTTGACGGAGACTTTACAACTCTGGATGTCGTAAGGAAAGTAGGTCATGTCCATTTTACAGTTGTTCTCAATAGTGACCATAGAAGCAAAAGTGACTCGTCCATTTGACTGAACTGTATGTTGGATATGGAAATCGAAGAAATTGTACTTGCTGTTTATAGAAATTTGTGGTGCCCAGATTTGGTTCTCGTTAAAGTGCATAGTTCTAATGCCACCATAGTCGTTTGGGTTCCATTGCAAAAACTCATCGTACCTGTGAATCGTAAGGGGACAGGTTGTGAACAGTAAGTCAGCAGTGACGGAAAAAGTAAGTAAACAATTAGTGAACGTTAATGGGGACGGCAAGAGCACACCAAGTGAACAGTAAGGAGGCAGTAAGTAAGCAGTATCGGGAAAAGTATGGGAACGGTAAGTGAAACGTAAAAGAATAATGAGTGACCAGTGACTGATCATTAAGTAAACAGTAAATAGACAACAACGAAATTGTAGAGGGAATTTTAGTGAACAGTAGGAGCATAGTTAGTCAACTGAAAGAGTAAGGTCGTAGGGGAACAGAGCAGTGTTGTGTCGGCTGTCTGTTTTTGTCTGTGTGTTCATATGTTACATTTCCGTTACCGCGGCAACAGAATGCACGGGCATATCCGTGAATGAATGCACATGCCGAAGAGTGGCAGAACATTGGGCATGGTTTCTAGGTTGGGGTATCATGGCTGACAGTTCAATGTCATAGCTTCTCTTCCCTCCTCTCTAGGATCTATGAAAGTGTTGATTGTTGTTGATTGTACTTAAATAAGCATAAGACTCGAAACAATTACCCCTAACAGCATGCTGCCCAAATATCCACAGTCTAGAAAGAAGCATTATATCCCCAGCGAGAGAGAAGAGAAGAGCGAGAGAGAGAGAGAGAAGGAGAGAGAGAGAAGGAGAGAGAGAGAGAAAGAGAGAGAGAGAGAGAGAGAGAGAGAGAGAGAGAGAGAGAGAGAGAGAGAGAGAAAGAAGAAACAGTAATATTCTCTTCAAGAATTATACATTCAGAATTTGAACTTCGACAAAACATTTCTCGAGCCGATTAAAGCTACAGACGCCATTGATTGAGAAACTGCGAAAAACAGATTCAAAATAATAGGTTTAATACATCTGAACAGCTGGCCGACGTTACATGCTGGGTACGTTAAGTGTTCGTTATATTGAGCCGTGATGCAGAATTCTAGAAATGTGTTAAGAAAAGATGTGCAAAAACACTGATGGCGTCTCTTTATATAACGAAGAACAAAACTCAGTTTTGCAAACACTGCCTTTGTGCCCCCCCCCACCCCCACACACACACAAACAAACCCTCGCAAGAACAGTAACGGACACTACGAAACTGGTTCACGAGACTTTGCTAAGTAAGAAACTGATATATATATATATATATATATATATATATATATATATATATATTATATATAATCCAAAACAAAATCACAATCTAATTCTTAGTATACAGCAAGCTGTTCCACCTTTCAGCGTTGCCAATTGCGCCATCCAATTTTGCAGCATCACAATTACTACTTGAACCTGATAACTCCACTCCTATTTAACCTGTTTACCTAAAATAAACACACAACTGAAGATAACTAAATGTTTTATTTAGATCTAATAAACATACCATTAGATTACAGAGAAAAAAATGCGGGAGTTTCGTAGATTTATGTTATGAATGATTTATGTCATGCAACAGAGCCATGATGTGCGACAGCTTAACTGGCGAGACATATACACATAATTTTTAAAAGATAACATATCCGAATGTTCAGAAAAAGTTATTAAAATGAAAAAAAACCCAAAGTAATTGTTTCCCATGCCACTGAGAATTCAGAAAGCAAAAGGGTTATGAAATGACGTTCATTAGCGTTTATGGTGTAGCATTCGGTGGTTCGCTATCACACCTGAGTTCCATTCCCAAGAAAAGTGGATCAACTTTATTAGTAACTTGGTCTTTTTACAAGGAAGCCCACCTCCAGGATGATCTAGATTTAGTCGATGGGGGTGGTCAATCAGAATATTAAGAAATGCCTTACCATGCCATCGAGAGCAGACCTTGTGTAGAGACGACCTGCTTCACCTCGTCCACATCTAAGATAGTGACCAAACTGAACTCAAGCTCCAGTTGTGTCGCGGAGGATTGGTTCGTCACTGGTCGAGCGTACGGCCTGGGGAGGAAAGGACATCACAAAATCTAATTATATTGGCAACTTTTGTTCTTGTTGACAGTATGGATATCATTAACTAAATCACAGTCGTCTCTGGTGTAACACTTAGTCTCTATGGGGCACCCTTAGAACAATTTGGTACAGAATAATTGAACTGAATCTCCGTGATAGTTAACTAATTCCTTCAAGCGTTATTCCTCTCTGTTGTTGAATACTTTGCCGCGGATTATGTTAATTATCATAGTTTCCAAAACGTTGGAATTTGTAAAAAGTCACATTTAACCTTGATGCACCCGGGTTCAATGGTCGAGCGTTACCGGTGTTGTTTTAACTAAAGAATTCCCTCTCTTCTCTTGGGCGTTGTGCTATGCAAAAAGAAAGATATCTGCAACTTGCTTTTCCTATGGGTTATTCATATCAGTAAGAAGTTGGGAGATAACGAAAATGAAAGCAAACTTTGAAGGCAGGAGCAGATTATAATGGAGAAGATAAAAGAGGAGAATGCAACAGTTCAAATACGGGAATGAGAAATAGAGACGTACTTTGGGGGGGGGGGTGTTGGAGTAGACCAAAGACAGAGATTGGACTGATTTAGATTTTTTTTAAAAAGAAGAGAGTAACAAAGTAGAAAAGAATGACAAACTTGAACACTACTACACTGAAAAATTAACTAAATTTATTATATGTATAACTTGTAGTCCCAAAACAATGTATTTGAAAGGGTACAAAAACATATAAAATGAGCACAGATAAATGTATTTACTTGTAACCCAGAAGAAGATCGTCGTACAGCTGCAGGAAGTCAGTCATTGTGGTGTTAGCAGATATCAGCTCCAACCCACAAAACAGCATCACCAAACTAAATGTCCAATACTTCTCAACAAAACCAAAAACGTGCATGTTGCCAACTTCATTCATGAGACTTCAGCGCCCCTTCTGCTGAGACAGGACTTTTCAGAATGGCTGCTGTCGTCAAATGTGGCACACTTCACACTTTTACGTCTCACCAGATCACATGTTCAGGACGTCTGTCTTTATGCACGGTCGACTGGAAGGGCAAATATTGGAACTGTTGAGAGTAAATGCATCTGACTTGACCGGTACACGATTTTCGAGTCCGCGTTGCCCACCGGAAATTGACGTGTGCTTTGGCTCTCTTATCCTCTTATCGTTCCACGACTTCGTATTTGCAGGGGGAAATCTGTGTTTCACAATGTCGTTAGTCAATAGGCCTACTCTTTAATAGCAATCGATCAATACATGTACCAAATAAAGTTCGTTGGAAAAGGCAAAGTAGTACATGCTCTTTTATGATATTTATGCAATTTTACAGTTATATAAGTTTATGTAACAGCTCGAATTTCATAACATGACTTTAAGGAACAAAAAATGTTTGTATGTATATATA